AGGTTGATGGATTTAGAGAAGCTCTTTTAATTTTCTTCTGATATTCCTAGAGGGTATTTAATGGTCTATGGCCACAATCTGTAGGCATACCTCAGAGATATTGCTGGTTCCACTCCAGACCACCTCAATAAAGAGTGTATGGCAATAAAGTAAGTCGTATTCTTTTTGTGTGTGAAGGGTTTTGTCTTCCACTTGCAAAAACACTCCTGTGACGTGCAATAAAGCAGAGCACCACAAAATGAGGCATGCCTGTACATTGCATGCAATTGGCATTGACTGAGGTGTAGAGCCACTTAACTGACCAAGAGCAATGATGGATGGAACTGGGGAGTGGATTGATGAGTTTTTAACAAGTAGTTGATTTAAAAGTCGCCATCAGTAGTAGTACATTCAAAGGTCATCACGTGGCACCAAAGATTTAGAAATAGCTAGACTTTTTCGAAATTGAATAACTGCGGTGTGTTAGAAAACCTTAGAATTTTAAGTTCAAAAGGAATCATCATTGCTTTTAGGCAATTCATGATTTATTGCTTATTTCCCTCTGCTTCAGTTTCTCTTGCTAGATGCAATTCAAAATTTTCACTTTTTAAAACTGCTACTGTGGAATGAAGAGGACAGCACAGTCCAAAATAAGAGAGAAATAAGCACAGGTCCCACCTGAAGCAGGCACAGACATTGTGTCTGTGGAAGGCCCTCTTCAAAACTGTAATAAGCAAATTCTTTTAGGTCTTGAATGACCTGCAAGGCATTGCTGAAATGCCATTTTGGATTATAGATGTAAAAAGCTAGCACAGTGAAAGATGAAGAAAATCACTTCATATTTTCTAACATTGAACATGGATTCAGTTGAAATGAATCATTCGTTTCAGCTTAAGAAATAGGCCCATGACCAGCTTCTGGGATACCGTGCAATCTCTTTCCGAGAAATGTGCACACTGGGTATGTCTAGTTGTGCTGAAACTTGTCTTGTGATGAGGGAAGATGTTTAGGCAGTGAGATCTCACCTCAGTGCTCTTTAAACAAGGCACATGAAAAAGATCAAGCAACTTCCACACAGAGTATGAAACCATTTGCTTCTCTAGAAAACCAAAATCTCCATTCTACATTATTTCCTAAATATCTTATCTACAGAGCAGCCAAAGAGAAACCTCCCCAAGATTTGGCATTCTGGTGTTCTTATCTCACATGGGAATGGAGTTCACATGGGAATGTCTCATGTGGGTTGTTTTATGTATTGGTTGTTTTGTTTTGTTTTTTTTTTTGCAGTTGTAGTAATTGGACAGTATCACTCATCTTGGTCATTTTAATTATTTCATGAATCCTAGCATTTGTGATGTTGGTTTTTATCTCAGTCATATTTAATTTTAATGAAATGAAGGACACTGGATTGTATAAGCTATTTGTCACACAAATAGTCACTGATCAGGCAAGTATTCTCTCAACAGAGCCATCCTCCAATAACACAGAGCAAGCAGCAGGAGAGTCAGGAGATGCAACACAAACTTTTTTAATATCTGAGGAATGATTTAATGGGTGTATGGAGAAGAGGCTTGGTATACTTCAATGGCCAAAAGCTTTCTTTGCCTCACTACTTAATTAAGCTCTGGAAACAGAGTACCCCACATTGCCGTGATTAGAGATGGATTTTATTAATCCTAAACCTCAATAAATACTTCCTTTAGGAAAGGAGAGGCTTTGCAATAACCGGTGTGTTTCTGCTAACCATTCTATGCCACTCAAACTCCTGGCAGGTCAGATTTCCAGGCCAAGCAACGTGGCAGGTCTCCGGGAGGTTCTGCTGTGGGAAAGTCAGGATTTTCAGAGATGATCCCTTAATAGTAAAGTGTCTCAACTGAACTCAGAAAAAAGAAGAAAAACACGTTTACCTTCACAGTATACCTCCTAGAGCAGGGGTGGGCAAACTTTTTGATTCGAGGGCCACAATGGGTTCTTAAACTGGACCGGAGAGCTGGAACAAAAGCATGGATGGAGTGTTTGTGTGAACTAATATAAATTCAAAGTAAACATCATTACATAAAAGGGCATGGTCTTTTTTCTTTTAGTTTTATTCCTTTCAAACGGGCCGGACCTGGCCCACGGGCCGTAGTTTGCCCACGGCTGTCCTAGAGCCTTTCTGAGCCCAAATATGTTTATAAATGATGTTAACAAGTAATGTTAAATAATAATAGCATCCAATGTTTATACAGTGTTTATTATTTAGTCCCTATGAGCTTTTTAAAATACATGAATGCATTTGCTTTTTTATTTTGGTATAATACGCATAGCATGAAATTTACCATTTTGATCATTTGTGTATAGTTCAGTGGCATAAAGTACATTCACATTATCATGCAAACATCAAGACCTCCTAGCTCCAGAATTATTTTCATCTTCTCAAACTGAAACTCTGTATCCATCTCCTTTCCTCCCTTTCTCCAGCCCCTAGCAACCACCATTCTAATTTCTGTCTCTATGAATTTGACTGCTCTAGGTACCTCTTATAAGTGAAATCATATCATATTTGTCCTTTTGTGTTGGACTTATTTTCACTTAGCATAATGTCCACGAAACTTCAGTCATGTTATAGCATGTGTCAGAGTCTCCTTCCTTTTTAAGGCTGAATAACATTCCAGTATATGTTTATACCACAATGTATTTATTCACTCATCTACCCATGGACATTTGGATTGCTTTCACTTTATGTGCTTTTCATATATTTTTAAATGTGCCTTTATTATTGAGAGTATTTCAGATGTCCCCCATTTTTGCCTCATTACCCTCCCTCACCTGGCTCCTGCCCCACCCCAGGCCTTTAAGGCACTATTGTCTGTGTCCATAGGTTATGCATATATGCATATAAATACATATTAACTATTTTAGTCATAATGTTTCAGTGATGTGGGTATCTTTATTATCCCCATCTTATGATTTAGAAATAACTGAATCATAAAGAGATCTCAGTTAGGATTCTCTGGAGCAGCATTCCACCCCAGACTGAGCAGGCCCATACTCCCTGCTCTCAACCACTATCTACCCCACTGCCCTGGAAATGACTTAATAATCTAAATAAAGCACATGCCAGTTAACCAACCCTTGATACAGAACTCTAAGGCCATGTTTCTGGCTGAATTTGTACCAGGTTTAAAACTTACAAGAAGTCATCAACTTGGCACCTGAGCCCCACAGCAACTGATTTAGTTTTCTGGGGAGGAGAGGATATTCTTTGCTTTTCCAGAGGCCCCTCCTGCTTAGATAACATAACCCTAAGTATGACTAGGTAGGGCATGAGAAAGTAATTTCAACATGCTAATAAGAGCTACCATTTATGAGCCTACTATGTGCTGGTGATGTTGTTGGCTTACATCATGTCAAGTTTTCAAGTGCTTTGTGAGCAGTTACCCTTCTTTCACTCCCTGTCCCATGCTTTCCCAGTATTCCACACTGCCTGTGCTCTCTCTTCAGGGAGAAAACCGAACATGAAATTGCCATATTGCTTGACATGCACATTTTCTTAATGGTTTTGGTGTTTACAAATATGGTTTTGAAATTTTAATATTTATCCTACGTATGTCTCTGATTGACATGAGCAGATACCACCTTTAATGTTTAGATATCACATTTGGTTTATTCAGTAAAATGATTTGGCCACAATTTACATTAGCTATTTGTAGAACTGTTGCTATGGATTGAATTGAGTCCTGCCCCACCCCCTCATATATTGAAGTCTCAATACAATAATATTTGGAGATGGGTTCTATGGGTGGTAATTAGGGTTAGCCGAGGTCATGAGGGCAGGGCCCTCATGATGGGATTAGTGCCCTTATCAGAGGAGACACTGGTGAGTTTGCTCACACTCTCTCCATGCTAACACTAAGTGGAAATCGTGTGAACACACAGTGAGAAGTCAGCCATCTACAACCCACAGAGAGAGCTCTCACCAGGGACTAACCATGCTGGCACTCTCACCTTGGGCTTTTATCTCCCAAAACTGTGAGAAAATTATTTCCTGTTGTTTTTAAGCTACGCAGGCTAATATTTTGTTGTTATAACCCAGAAGACTAACATACCTATGTAAATACATATATGACATATTCTCAATTTATAAAATCATGGTAATCACAGGTAATATTTATGATTGCTCTACTCTGGAACTAGTCCTAGGCTAAGTTCATTTAGCTAATCCTCCTGTAGGGTGTGTGTGTGCGTGCGCATGCATGCATGGGTGGTAGTGTAGTTATAATATTATCACCATTTTATAGAAAGAGAAGTTGAAGTGTAAGGAGGTTTAAGGACACACAGTAAAAAACAGAATCCGTATCCAAACCAGACAGTTTTAACTCCAGAGCCTGTTCTATTAACCATGGTGCAGATTTTATCCTTGACTCTCCTGTGTATGAAACGTGAAGCACAACATGAGGCCTGTACGTAACGACTTTCCTGACAGCGGATGCAGTTTTCATGAGGAAGCTTGTCAGTTACAAGTGTGTTGATCTATCTAAAGTCAGTCTCTGCTAAAGTCACTCCATGCAGTTACTTTCATGAACAAATCTGAAAACTGAGAATAACATTGCTTCTTTAAAAAAAACAACTGTCAGTTGCATAAACAAACAGTTGTTCTGGAAAGCAGTGCTGGTATGCACATATCCAGTTTCTCAGAGCAGAAGCCTCCCTGAGAGCAGCTTCTCTCTTCACAAAGAAATGAAAAGTAGACTCATGAACTCTGGCCAAAACTGTGACTTTATTGCAATTTACCTCCCACTAACCCAGATTCTTCTTTTAGGCCCCCTTTTCCATTTACTCTTAGTCATTACCCAGGGTCTCTAAGCTGAAATATTCTTCTCCCCTAACATATATACATTATTATGTTAGAAAGAAGCTGATGCATGCTTTCATCCCCAGAAAGCCCACCCTGTACAGACAAACAGGCCACCAGTGTTTTAGGTCATGTGTTTCAAGGTTCGTGGGGGACATGAGACTGACCATTCTCTTGTTTCCCACAGAGCTCCAGGACAACACGCTCCGAGGAGGACAGGGACAGCCTGTGGGACGCCTGGGGCTCATGGAGCGAGTGTTCACGCACCTGCGGTGGGGGCGCCTCCTACTCATTAAGACGCTGTCTCAGCAGCAAGTAAGTCCTATACCAGTGATGGGGAACCTTTTGAGCTCGGCGTGCATGTCAGCATTTTGAAAAACCCTAACTTAACTCTGCTGCCGTGTCACATGTAGAATTTTTTTGATATTTACAACCATAGTAAAACAAAGACATATTTTTGATATTTATTTTATATATTTAAATGCCATTTAACAAAGAAAAATCAACCAAAAAATGAGTTCACGTGTCACTTCTGACACATGTGTCATAGATTCGCCATCACTGTCCTATACCCACCCTCGGCCCAGAGGTAACAGGTTCGAAACCTACTCTTGGTATATTGGTTTAGTTTTTTAGATGTTGGAATGACCTTTCCTAGGGTCATTCATATTAATGGATTTTGACTATAAGAAGATTTGGAAGAATATATAAGCAGTGGGAATCGGGGCATGCAGAGTGAGAGTGATGATGAAGGTGGAAGTGAGAGTGGTTAATGGTTTCTCAACGGAAAAGAAAAGGCCCACGGTGTTGCAATGGAAAGTCTTTACTTACAATAATAATTCATAGCCACTTCTTGAGTTGTGTGGGCTGTGAGTAGATTTTTCTCCAAACTGTAAAATATAAAGTAATGTACCCTGGTAATATTTTTCAAAGGAAGATTTTATTCCACAGTGAAAAGTGTTATATGTGGAAGCAAAAGGTTTGGTCAAAATTATTACATATTATAAAGCATGAAACAGAATAAGGAAAAAACATATACCTGTGATTCTTCTAGACTTTTCATAAACAGCAGAAAGTGGTGAGATGTAAGTTCAGGAAAACGTCAACTTATTCTAACAAGAGTGAGAATTTCTTGAAAATCAGGGTCTAGTCTTATTCCTTTTGTATTCCCCAGGCCTGCACAGGGTCTGACAGATGTCAGGAGCTCAACAGATGTTTCTTCACTGGACCCAGTGATAACTACAGACCATTTTGGTTCTAGACACAGGTCCAGTGGAAATGATATGCCCTGAAAAAAATGGCCAAAGGGGATATCTTGAAGGAAACCAGAGCTATTCTGGCATTTAGCAGTTCTGATGTTTGGGTCTGCACAGAAGGTGGGTCTATTGGGTTGTAGCCAAGTTTGTTTATCTTCTTTAGAGGCCAGCTTCATATCAAACCAGATCCCCGAGCTGGTAAGAACAGACCTTTCATTGTTATGTCTCACCTGTTCTCTTAATCTGCACTACATGATGCTACGTGTCGATAGCATTCTGAGGCGTAACTGATAATAAACATCCACCGGTAAGGCCAAAGTGTACAAATATGGAATGTCCGTAATATGCAGCTTTATCAAATTAGCATGCTTAAGTGTTCTTTAGGGATGAGCCAAAACATGTGTCTCACAAAGCTAGTAAGAAATGCATGGGAACGCTCATGTTGGCTCAGTGAATGTGACCCTGTGAGAATATTTTATTGAGTGAGAGTCTGAGAAGCCACTTAAGGAATAAATTAATATCACAAGTAAAACTCTGTCATTCTGCATTTTACCAAATATTGGTGTTGTGTGAAGTTTAAAAATTCCATTTTTGCCACATGGTAAATTAAGACTCCAGTTGTTAAGATGTTATAATACAATAGAAGGTCTCAGTTGTCATCTACCAATAATGAATTGCGAAAGTGGATTATGAATTCTAAAATTATAAATTTATAGGATACATAGCTCTAATGGACTTTCAAATTACACCCAGTAAACACATACGGGGCTAGAAAGGAAGGTTTAAAATGGGAGTGGAGTGGACCACCCGTGTTCTAGGGACTTGATGAAGAGAGGAGCCTCCAAATAGATGGCATAGCCAAATCCAGTAAGAACGTAACGAAATACTGAAAGAATAGTCTAAAAAACTGGATTGACATATGTGTCGTTTGTCCCAAGAGAACTAGAATAGTACAGCTGAGTGTAAGCTGACCTCACAACACAACCCCTATTGAAGAATGGTGTCAAAACATGTGCTGGGGTACAAATAATCCTGTCATGGTTTTTTTTTTTTTAAATGCACATTGGCCAAGTAAGTCATCTGGCCAAGCTTAGAGTCAAAGTGAGAAAGCAAAATTATTACATGGAAAGCATGCCAGGTAGGGTGGGTGAAGGATTGGGATCATTTTTGCAATCTACCATGATGGTCTATGGCAAGCATGTCAAACTCAAGGCTAACACCGGCCAAATAAACAAGGCATGCAGCCCACGGGCCTTGAGTTTGACATGCTTGGTCTATGGCTTTCATGTTTGTTTTATAATGGCTGATGAACTTAATGGCTTTTCTCTCATCTCTGCACCACAGATTTAGGCATTTGAAATCAGTTATACTCTTGAGAAAGATCAGAGACTATGAATGTATGTGTCTCTAACCCCAGCAGGTAACTGGAATGTGTGTGTAGTAGTCTAATGGTAGGCATTCAACTTCAGCCCAAATAAATCCCACCCACCCGCTGAAATTAACCAGCCAACCCAGTTTCTTAGCCCTGGTCCTAGGCTCTCTTAGGGCACATTTAGTTGTAATACTTTTAACTCTACCACCTGAAAATTATTCTACTCCCAACATGATAGAATTGGAAAGAGAGCAACAATACCCAGTTTTAGTCAATAGATAACTGCTCGACTTCTGGGGTTCGTGATGTTTCCTGTGGATTGGGAGCTTGTAAGGAGGCTTGGTTAACCTTCTGATCTGATAACATCTTCTCTGAGTGACTGTTTTGTGGATACAGGGATACAAAAATCAGTGGAGGCAAAACAGAGTAAAAATACAGACAAGCGTTAAATATTAAATCCTTCACTCTCAACGGGCAGTGCTTTAATGCTGGGGGAAACCTCTGACCCAGGAGATACTGAGCAGAAGTCTTCCCTTGGCGTCTCCCTCATCCTTTCCCCGAGGCTCACAGAGAGTAAGCAGTGCTTGATATTCCCAATTTCTGGTTTTGGAGCTTTGATAATTCTCTTTCCATGCAACCCTGTTTTGAGCACTGAAGAAAGGCACTGTATCAACTTTTTTCTACAACATTTACTGATTTCTATGAGATTATGTTATGTCTTATTGAGCAACTCTACTAATGCAGCTGTTGCTAATCTTGTATAACCAAGTGGCACTATAATGTCTGCTTTTATTTTAATTAGAAAACAGACTATATCTACTTGTACTTTATTTCAAGTGAATCAAACAATGTACCCACAACCAGAAAAGCTGCTTCTTCTCTTTCCAGCTCTTCACCTTTCCCACTAAATCCTCTGAAATAACAGTTTTAGCAAATTCATTTTCCTTGTTGACCTACCTAGTGTGTGTTCTTTAGTGGAAACAATCCTTCTTCAACCTAAATTACTGAAGCATATTTTTTAAAATTTGATACTAAAGATCTGTCTCTGAGAGCTCTAGGTTTGTCTTCAGCCAGTTAATTTAGTTTTGCCCGTAAGGAGTTCCAGATGCATAAGGCTCTTAGGAACAGTGTGTTTTAATGTGATATATACCACTGTAGTAGGTCTATGCCAAGACCAAGGTCGACAGGGGAAACTGCTCCTTATCTGAAATGGCAGTGGGTCAGATAGCTGATGCTCTTAAATGTGATGTCTCCGTTGCATTGGTGGCTGAAGATTTAAAGCTCTTTTATGACCTGTTTTACTTTATAAGATGTCATGTTAATATGCAGATTAGTTAGTACTGTGGCTTAATGAATTAATTAATATATTAAAAATGTAAATATCTTGTTAAATCCCAATGGATTAAATAAGGGCGTGTCAACTTCGTATATATCCAAAGAGCAAAAAGCAGCCTATCTAGAAAATATGAACGCACTTTTTAAATGTTAATACATTTTGAGTTGAATAAAAAGTTTTTGAGTTGAATAAAATTGTTAGATAAACAAAAGATAAAATCATCACACTATGGAGGTGCCTAAAAAAGTCAGGTTATGATGTTATTCCAAAGGGATATGGCTGCCACAGTGGTCTCAATGTAAACACAGAAAATTAAAATAAATAACCTCAAGGAGTCTTATCTCACAGGAATGAGGAAGATCATTCTAATCACCTCATTTCATAATAATTGAGCTAAGGGAGAGAGGGCTTAGTTTTTCTGATTTTTTTTAATTGCAAAGAATTTTTCTCCAATAAAAATATTGATAGTTAACACTAACATAAACTTTAGTTAGCAATTAATTTCTATATCACATAATAATAAGTACCAAAAGAAAAAAATTAATGTTCATATTTAGCTTCTTAAACAAATATTTTTTTTTTACAGTTATCTCATCTCTGCCATAACATCTAATTAAGGCTTGTTTCAAGACGTTTCAGAACTTTCAGTTCAAGTGAGCCCCAAAGCAGGATTAATCTGTTTTTCTTCATCTAGTATTGCATGTTATCAGCCTTGTTTTCCTTGGAAATGGTCGAGTTTTTGTTTAAAGGGAAGATATACAAGTTCAGAGTGGGTCTGACTCTTCATGTCTTTTATACGAGGTGGTCTTTTCATTGTGTTAAAGGAGGTTTCACATTTTGGGATTTATGTTTGAGAGTTTGCGGTTGCCTTCCTTTTACTTTTTGGGTCAAAGCCTAGTCTAAATGTATTACCAAGACTTCTAATATTCCAGGCCATATATCTTAGAGGAATGTTTTGTTCCAAGATCTGATCTTCTTTCAAGGAGAGAATCCACTCAAGCCAATGACTGAATGTTTGGGACCAATTTATGGCTTGGTTTATCCCATAAACCTGTTTGTTGGAATAAAAGATGTTGAAAATGTGTTTGGTGCCCATAACCTTTACTAGCCATATTGGGATTCTGTAACTATTGGCTGTCTCTTTCTCTTTATTTAAAAATTCCTTATTTGGTTAGTTCAATTGCCTTTCTGAAGTTTTTATTTCTTCACAATTTTCTTTTTTTTTCTTTCACTGCTGTATTGTGATATCTTTGAAATGTAAAACACATATATTGAAGGTATACAATTTGATGTTTTGATATAGGTATACATTGGGAAAAGATGAACACAATCAAGCTAAATAATTTATCTA